CCAAGAATTCTGGACTTTAGAATTGAAACAATAGTTTTTCATTTTTACAATATAACAGATTTTTTTCATTTTGTTTAAAGCCAATTGTTTTTCAATACATAATTTTTGAAGTATGTCCAATTTCAGTCTTTCGATTTCCGTTTGCCTATTATTAATCATTCCGATTCAAATATATTACGTATTATTTTTAACAAGCCTATAAGTAGATAGAGAAAACAGGCCTAACTAGACTACACTTGCTCATCTCTTGAAAACCTATTGAAAGTGATACATTTGATCACTGAACTTAAGGGGAAGTCAAACTCGCAAATACAGAATATATTTATGTGAAAAGGAAATATCACCAGATTTTTTTCTCAATAGAAGGTAATTATTCACTATATTTCGCTCTAAACTAAACAGATATGATTATTATTAAAAATATATCATTTATATATATTCATTTTTCATCTTATTCAAATTCAACGAATAATTGCACAAAATGTCAATAACGTTAAGATGTTTACTTGTTTACATTATAAATTTCTCACGAGAACATTAAAAGTGCATAAAAATAGTTTTTCACTAAATCTTCTATTCGTCAAACCCCGATCACACGGTTCGAAAATTCAATTGCTTCAAAAATGTTGGTTTATTCAAAGACTTATTATGGAACGATTCATATGGCACATACACGATAAGTCTGTTCAAATGCAAAGCCCCAACATGACAGCATGTCTGAAATCGTTCATAAAGCTAATTCGAAATGTACATTTTGTGTAAAATTTGTTTAGTATTCTACAGATAATTCTAAGGAAAAAATCGGATATACTATCTTGCTTATTATGATGATTGAATGCACTTGTTATGTGTTTTTCATTACATTTCTGTTTTCTTTATTTTTATTGAATTATAAATATCCGACTTACAGACCCAAACATTTTTTATAAGACAGTATGTATTATCGTTTGAGAAATTGCTTCTTCTTGTTCTCCATCGGATAATATATCAGATGACAATCATAACCGCTCGAATTATGAAAAATGTCAATAAGGAATAATGAGCAATTTTGAAGTAGAGATTACATAATAATTTTTGATTTGTGTTATTAACATCGATATTCAATAATGGACTTTGTCAGATCTTGTGAATGAATAATTTTTCAAATGAAATGGAACATTCAATTATCCAAGCAAATGGATATGGATCTTTTTAGTTTCATCTGTGAATAAACTGCTGGAATCTCGTTAACATGTACATGAGTTTGAGAAATGATTCTAAATCATAAACCGAACACGATTTTCAAAACCCTCTCATTTGGAAATAGGATGTTCAGGACAATGTGAATTGTAATCGAAATCATTGGGCATGGTAAGTGAACAGACCTAATATTTCCTATTCTAAGAACGTGCTATTGAATTCAAAGGATTTCATATTTCAAATTTCAATTTCCCGTATTATTCAATAGATTCAGCCACTTTTGAAAGAATCATAATATTACGATTAACAGATATACTGGCACAATTCAAAAATAAATTCAAAATTATTTTGCTTGATGTAAATGGTTATTTTTTCAAAATTTTGATGAAAACAATACATTTTTCACGAGTTCAAAATGAGTGGATGCATTAATCGAACGAATGAAAGTAATATTTGAAAAATCAAATTAGTAATATTATGACAGGGATACTAGATAACTAGAATTTAGTCGCTGAAACTTGGAATCGATTAAAATTAATATAAAAAAATTTATAAAGAATCTTCAGACACTTCACAATATATGAAACAGTAAGATTTTGAATGATAATAGCTATACTACTACCCTTTGAAATATGAAGGAACGATGTTTGATGTCATTTTATAAACCGGCTATACCAACTACAACGTACTTCATATTTTCCGTCCACATTCACAAATATTCTCATTCAAACAAAGTTATTCATTAAATTAATAGGAAGGTCAATAAATTAAAAATTATGTCTGAGACAGAAGAACTTTCGAGCAATTCTGCGAAGTGAGACCATCGATTGAATAACAATTAAAATTCGACAAAAACTTTAGAAATTACAGTAAATTGAAAACTACATTGATTGAATGAATCATTGCATAAAATAAATTGATTGACTGGACTGACTGGAGAATAGGTACATTAATTGTCAGCTATGAGATATGCCGAAATTTTCGAAACTTAAATGATAAATTTCTATAATTGAAATGAAATTAAATAGTCTATGCGTTCAGTCTTGAATCTCTCAGAGCTGGTCAAAAGTCGTTCTGTCATCGAAGCATACAAATAACGAGAGAAAAATTAAAATTATAAAATACTTCCGGGATCTACGTATCTTCTTATAGTAAATTAAAATCATTTTGAGTCACCACACGACCTGGACACAATTAATAAAAATCACCAGCGCTTCATTGTTTTTGTTTGTATAAAAATGTATGTAAAAAAGTATAATTCACATGGTCTATTGGCACATCAGAAGGAAGCAGAAGGCGACCTATTCGAATCTTTAGATGCAAACAATCCAGTCAAAAATATATTTCTGTTTATCGATTAGGCCGCATTTGCATAAAAATCTTGGAATCACGATAACTTAGGCTGTTCGGCTAGTCAGTCGACAGAGATGCAACTTTCCACACGCTGCTCGGGAGATAGGTCTACTAAGAACTAGAGTTTCTAAATGTACTTGACACTGCTGTTTTGACGTTTTTTTGTATATTAGAGTCATATACGTATTAATAAACAATACAGATCATAACGGGTGCCAGGATGAAGCCAAAAATATGAAACAAATGAATATCCATAAGGATTTGGTGGCATGATACGCATGCGCCATGCGCTATTATAGTAGTCATCAAAGACATGCGTTTCGGTGGACAATGACGTTTACTAGCCTTTCAATCAAAGCAGTATGTGTCTGATCGTATCTCACTTTTCCTTATGGATAGTCATTTGTCTTCAAAAATCGGCTTCATGTTTCGCTATGGAAACAGATAGAGATTATCCGTATTGATTATTAATACGTATATGATTAGAGTACGGACACTATGACAAGCACTGACAATCAAACATAACCACAAATAAATTGATGGAAAAAGCGGGAACTGACAGTACACGGAAGTTGTAGTGAGCGGACCCTGTATACAGTGATTTTGGTTGATTTGGATTTTTATCACGATTGCGAGAGGTGAAAAAGGAAGGGCTGTCAGGGTGATTTTTGGAGATGACGGAAGAGTTTTTCAAAAACTATTGATTAATATATCGCTGAATTGGGTACGTTTTGCCAATTCCGATAGTATTCATCGTCTGCAGAGGTATTTGAATGTTCCTGAGTATAGAATTCTGGAAGTGAATGGAGTATTGCTGTTTGATGTGGCGATTATACCTACTTGCCACCAAGAGCTGTTAGTGACTCGTAAATGGATACTACAAGTACACTATCATATCCCACTATTTACTAGACGGTATTTTGGGACTTTGGGGTAGTTTAGTTATCTATAGATGTTAGATAGAATGTGTTCTTTTAATTATATATATATATATATAAAATCACATTCATCATTAGTTGATTTCACCACTTGAAACCCACATCCCTATTATTTGTCCTGGCTTCTGCAATTATTCTTTATTAACAGAATACGATTCGGAACCAGTACATGACAACGTATATAACATAAATTTCAAAGGTTTGACAAATTGAGAGAATTAGGAGTAAGATGCAAGTTGGTGCAGTTTTCAACTGTGAGAACACGGGAAATCAATTCACTCTATTCGAATTTCCATCGGATAACGTAATTCTACAAAAATGGAAACAGACTATGATGCGGCCGGCATGGAATTTAGGTTCATGCCACAAAATTTGAGATATTCAAATTTCTTGGTAGGATATAGAACATTTTTCAACGCATTTTTATCAGGTACACTTCAGAACGGAAGATTTGATGCTGAAGAATAGGATCGTATTGAGAAAGAGCCGAACCCATAATTTATAAATTGAGCGAGTATCGAAAAGAACCTTATTCCAATTTAGAACCAACAAGAAACGAAAAACTTGCAGATAATTAAATTTATTTCGAACATATTTTGAGAGGAAAAGACTTGAGAATCGAATTCTTAGAGTAGGAATATTAAAAAATCCAAGGTTTACGAGTGGAAGAGACTGAAGAATTCAGCAAACAAATAGAAGAAGAAAATAGAGAGTTGGAAAATAAGTTAAAGCAAAAAGATGTAGATAATAAAGTCAGAGTTAGCAAGATTCAAAACTATTATCTAAAAATTATTTCAGATTTGAAACAAAATCAGCAAATATCTTCAGAGTAATCTGAGTAATACAAGAAAATTGAACAAGCAAATGTCCAGGCAATTTTGAGCAAAATTCAGTTTTGATGCACAATACTATGAAAAACTTTTGCATTTGAAAAACCGAATGGAAGATAATAAATTGAATAATATTAGTAAAAATGTTGCTTTATATGAGCATGATTCATCTCAAAATTCAAAATTCAATGATAACCGATGGGATGCAAGAAGTTTGGAAAAATCCTTGGTGATCAAATTCACATGTGGTTCATCTGGTTACAATAATTGATCGAAATTTCAATACGAATTACCATCGCTGCGTACTCTGAATAGACGAATTTCGAGCATAAATTTCCAACCCGGTATTTTGAATGAAATTTTTAATGTTCTGAAAATTAAAACACAAAATTTTGATCCATGTGAACGAAATTGTTGTTTCTATTCAAAATCATTTGTTGTTACGTGTGATTGTCACTGCTTCTCTAGTGTCTGTACTCTAATATACGAAGAACGTCAAAACAGCAGTGTCAAGCACATATAGGAACTCTACTTAGAACCATATAGAGAGTCCTACTTTGTGCACAGTTGTAGAAAATATGATGTAGGTAACTATCATAATGAATCTTGTCGACGATCGAATCTCTGCCGATGGTACCGATGGTACCACCGAAAATAGGCAAGCGTGGCGACAAGCTGCTTTGCGCAGGTACTTCTTTAGCTACACAGGTACGGTCTCTCGAATTCCGGGGCAAGGGCTGCACAAAGTATATCTATTAAAAAAAACTGATGATAATATAATTCAGATCGACAGATGGGCAGGCAAATATATTGGCACAGTATACCGGATGTCCAAACTCTATTTATACACGCATTTTCTCGAAAACGGTCAACACTATCATACTATCAATGTTCTGAAAGTACTAGCTCAAATGAGTGTGCTGAAAAAAATATCCCTCGACAAACCACCACTTTGCATATACCACTAACTTTTTTTGCAAATCACACTCCCTTATTATTTTGGTATGTTTGAGTATCTTATTAGTTTACGAACACTACACTCTCCATAAATCCGCGTTAGGCGTTTAGGATTGTTGGAGTATACTTTTGAATGATTTATGAATCGCGGTGTCTATCTTTAGTTTTTTAGTCTGAGACAGACATCGTTGCCACTTTTTCCACTCACCTTAGAAATCGAGATTTTACAACTTTTATTCATTTATTTATTTATTGAACAAATAACTTCCAGACAGAATAGGCTCTGGTATAAGGAAGTACATAATTATATACCTATAGGTAAACATATAAACATATCATTATACAAAATATATCAACAACTGTAAATTGAATAACAAAGAATAATATTTGTAAAAAAAAGGCATGTTCAATTTTATCCAGTTCGCTCAGAAAATAATCAATTTTTTCACTTCATTTTTGAATGTACCTATATTTCTGCAATTTATTGTCAGGTAGTTTATTGAATTCAGTTAAGGCTGAATGAGTGAATCTTTTTTGTCCTATTATGGAGCTAGCGGTGTCAAGATGAAACAAGTTATATTGTCTTGTTTCATGATTATGTATTTCAGAATCAACATAAAATTCGACTTAAATTTTTTATTTATGATATTATATGATATTTTAAGAGTTTCAATTCCATAGGTATATTTCATCTAAAGAATACGTATTTGTTATTTCAAACAATTGATTGGTTGGTGTATCAAATGGGAGACGATACGATTTTCTATATGATGTTGATATTTCATTGAAATTGTTTTTTGAACAAGTTCCCCAAACATTTATTAAATAGTTGATATGACTCAGTATATGAGAGTAGAGAATCATGTTTGCAATTTTAATATCAAGTTTGGGACATCTTCTCAATGCACCAATAATTGGAGATATTTTTTTTGTCAGAACATCAATATGTTTGTTCCACTTCAACCTGTCATCAAACCAGATACCTAAATATTATATCTGGTCAGTTTGTTATAAGAGTTCATTTTTCATTTTAAGGTTGAGGTAAATTTTTTGTTTATTTTTTTGGTGAAAAATCATATATTCTGTTTTGTATTTATCGATAAAAGGTTAGATTGGAGCCATTTTTCAAATATTTTCAAGTCTTCATTTATCATATTTACTAAATTTGAAGGATTCTTGCCTTCATATAAAAATACTGTATCATCTGCATACATGGTATATTTACTCGTGAGACCAATTTCACTGATATTTTTGTGTCGAAACTATTCATTATCGGTCAAAACGGCTCACATGTCCCTATCTCAACTTTTGATTCACTATTTACTGATATTTAATCGGAACATATACAGGGTGGTTCAAGATTCAGAATTCTGATCACCGAGTGTAACGACCGAAGTAATCTTCTGGAGCCCGGCATCATCTGAATAATTATTATCATCAGTGAAATATTACTATTTCTGTCATTCTTATCATTATGAGATATTTTTATTAATATTATTATTTCTATTATCATTATTACTATCATTGTTGTCGTTATTATAATTATATTATATTCACACGCTATATATTAGTATTGGAGCGGTTTCCTGGACAGAAATCGTTACTGACCCATATGTTCTTAGGTAATAACTTAGAGATAGGATGAATAATGTGAGGCAGTTCTGACTGATTCGTGGTATCGAACGGTTGACGAATAAAGTGATTGAAGTAGGTGTGCGTGTTCTTCAAATAATAAGAGTAAAATACTTCTCAGTCATATCAATAGCCAACGTTGGTTTAGTTCATTGTACCAGTATATTACCTGACGAAGCTACTATGTTAGCGAATCATGTTGTGTGTTCAAGAATTTTGTGGAAATCTTGTTGTTTATGAAGTTGTCACAATATAATTTTCGTCGTTCGTCCAAAGGTATTTCAAAAACTCACGTGGAAAATACCAAGCGAGGACGTGTCCGATCGAATGTTAACGGGAATGAATTCTCACGATTTGAAGGTAGGGATCATGTATCAAACAAGTGCAACGTAGGTTTGCACCCTTGAACTCGTTTTTTCGCTTAGTAATAATTGAGGTAATAATCATAACTGTGTATTTCCATCTCCAATTCATGGATAAAAATAGTATTCCTGCAGAGTATCTCACTAGTACACCTCATTATACCATTGTCCTTTATGAAGGACGGGCATTATCTATAAAAGTATCAATAATTCAACTAAAAGTTTCAGAGAGAAGTTGTTCATTAGGTGATAATTGTTGATTGTGTGAAATGAAAATACGTGTATTTGAAAAAAAAATGCATTTCGGGAGTATCTTGGTTGAAAGCAAAAATTAAGTTGACGAACTAGAGCAACATCCACCCTGGCCAACCCAGGTTGAGGTCACGAGCCGTCACCGATAAGTATCTATAGTTATTATAATAATAATAATAAATATGTTTATTGAAGTTCCAGAATATACATAAATATATAATGTAGATGAATAAAGAAGAAGAACTTCAAAAGGCAAGAATATTGGCTGAACCAATTTTTCAATTCCGCCTGTAGTTAATTATGCCAAGATAATAGGACAACAACATTCTTTTAAGAACATATCATAAAACATGCATATATAGATATAAAAACACTTAACCGAAGATATAATAGAAATAATAATATAATAAAAAAACCTATAGACTGAAATTATCCGAAATGTTGAGACCAGAACAACGCTATATGAAGATAATAACAGATGACAATATTGATATTGATACTGGCATTGTCATATTCCCACATTACGAAAGTATATGTTGTTGCTGTTCTGATGAACAATTTTTTTTCAAAGCAATTTTAAATTTGTTGTGGTTAGTTAGAGCAAATATACAGGGTGTTCCTTAATGACATCCTAATATTCGAGAAGGCGATTCTTGGACCCATTTCAAGAATAAAACTTCATATGAACGTATGTCGTAAACGTCCCAAATTTTGAGATACAGGGTATCCAAGTTGAAAATATATGCATAGAGTATTTTTTTGTCCACCCTATATAGCTAACCGTGATGAAGAAATTCAGTCTGCTATGTGACTGAAATGGTGCAAAAATTTCAAAATGTTACATACTGTGGTTATCCAGTAATGGATGTCATGAATGGAGTACTCAAACATCAAAATTCGAAGTCTGGTCTCGTTTTTCCGATTTTTCTCGAAAACAGAGCGTTTTATCGACTATCAACAAGAGGATCTTTTTGTACAGAATTGAATGGCCTTTCATAGGATTGCATGAAATTTGGAAAATTTCCTTCGTTGCTCACTTTCAAGTGAAATATAAACAATAATATCCCCCAAACGGCGCCACTGGAAGAGAAAAATGAAAATTTGTGTACATCAGAAAATGCACCTTGATGCATAGAACACATGTACCGAATTTGGTAAAGATTTCTACAATATTATCTCAGTTATTATCAAAAAACTGTTTTTTTCAAACTTTATCGCCCTGTATCTCAAAAGTTAAGACGTTCATAAGAAGTTTTCATCTTAAAATGAGTCAAAGAATCGCCCCCTTAAATATCAGCATGTTTTTAAAGAACACGCTGTATGTATTCAGTCGGAGCACCCACCTGTTCGACCGGCCTACATGCTGCTCTCCTTGACCGGCCCCAACAGCGGTTCGTTCTCGATGCGCCAGCCGAGAGACGCCTTCTGGCACCGCGACTGCTGCCCGACGCGCTCCATCACGCACGACGCCGACAATCGCGCCTCGGCGTCGTGGTCCCAGCACTCCTCCATCGTGTCGCACATCGACGCCAGACCCTGGAACGACGACATCGACGTGAGGGTTTGATTGATTGATTGTCTTTATTACCTCGAGAAACATTATCTATACTAATATTTAGGGTCCCTTGATGAAAATTGACGTTAAAGTCATCTTGACAGGGTACGGACAGATCCTCAACTCTTTAATTCGTCAATTTATTGAAGGCAAGAACATGTATCAGAACTTTGGCGTGTGTATACGTATGGTTTGGTATATGACCCGATATACACACCTATTTAATGCTTTTGTGAGGTATTCTGTGTTCGTGGTAAAGCCGAACACTATTGAGTCGTTTTAGGTATTTGATATATTACCATGCAGCATTTTCCACAAAACCACCACTATGGCCAGCATGAAGTACAATAAATCGTTTCCCATCATAACCTTCTGGTTTACGAACGCTTTTTGTACTTTGATCTTGCCATGATCTCATCTTATTCCCTTTCGCAAATATCCAAGTTTCATCTAACAAGACGATTTGTCTAGGGAAACTAGAATTGCGATTATAATAAAACTTTCTGAGAAACTCTGCTCTCATTAGAGATATGTCCGTCTTCTCAACCAATAACCGTCTGTTGTCTTCTTTTTATATTTGAATCCTACATTTGTGAGAAGTTTGGATTAGGATTAGGATCCGATTTTATTCAAATTTGGTATCTGGTGGTTCTCGAGGTGGGAGATTATAATCCTTTCGTCAAAATTCAAGATGGTGGACCCAATATGGCGGACGAGTATTGTAATTATGATCCGACTCTCTCCAAAATTGTTATCTAGGTGTTTTCGGGGTCAAAGATTAAGATTCTTTTGTCAAAATTTGGAAAAGGGCGGGATTTGGAAATTCAAGACGATATACCGGACGAGTTTTGTAATTATATATCGATTCTATTTAAAATTTGTAAGTGGGCGTTTTCGGAATCAAAAATTATGATTCCTTCGTTAAAATTAGGGAATTCGAGAAGGTGGTAGATCCAATATTGCGGATGAATTTTTATGTTTTTGTTCCCACGAAAGGGATATCTTGTAATGTTCAGAGAACATCGTAAGAACCAAGGTAAATAAGGTAGGAATTGGTATTCTTAAATTTCTGGAGGTTATACGCCTCGGGGAACACCTCCATGTTCCAGAGCCTCGCTGTTCGTTGGATGAACGAGTCTTTTGAAAGAGATGTTCGCAGGTCTCCAAAGTGACCACGAAGGGGTGCGAAGCCTCAACTCGACGGGTTAATCTCGCAAGGACTTCCAAGGGAGGAACAATTGTTGATATTTAAGAAGAGCATCGTCCATGAAAATATCTATGAAAGATAGCCAGATCTTCAACTTTTCTACGATGTTCCAGAGAAGTGAGTGAGTTTGTGAGCGAGGTATCACCCACGAGACGAATTGCCCTTTTTTGGACAGAATCCAACAGTTTCATGGTATGTTTGGGTGCTGCACTCCAAATATGGGAACAGTATTCCAGGACAGGTCGGATCTGTGCCTCATAGTTCATAAGCAGTTGACTGGAAGTGAAATAGCTCCTGGCCCGAAACAGAAAACCAACTTTTTGGGATGCACTTTTAGCAATTGATCTCATGTGATTTTACCAAGAGAGGTTATGGCTGATAGTAATATCATGCTTCGAAATGGATGTCTCCAAAGGTATGGTTACTCCTGACAAGTTTATGTTGGGCACAGTGAGATCGGCTTGTGTTTTGTTTGCAATGAAATCTACCTAGTTATTGGATCCCCATTCGAGGATTGTAGCCAAGTCCATATAAATATTGTCAACATTTCTCCCTCGTTCGTTTCTGATTCGCCTGGCTGGTATTGGAGCCCTGGAAGAGAAATACTTTTGCGCTTTCTGATTCCATAAATCAGACGAAGACAATAGTTTTGTACTTATTGGATCTTATTTTTATGAGTTAGTGTTAAATTAGGGCCATGAAGGGTATCTGAGTAGTTGAACAAGGATAAAACAATTGTTTCGCATAATAAAGCTTTTCCCCCCCAAGAAAAATATATATTTTGAGGGTGACCAAGATTCAGACGATTCCTTTATTGTAAAATGAAATAAAAAGTTTGCTTGCTAGGTTTCTTATGTCGCTCACCTGATGGTGCTTCCAGTGCTCCTGTATGGCGGGCCTGACTTTCTGCTGCACCACCGACTCCTGCATGTCCTCGAGGCTCGGGTGTTGGCCCACCTCCTCTTCAAAGGGCAGCCGGTATTCGGGGACAGGGCCGTCTTGCGACGTGCATCTGTGGGGGCGATAACAACGCGGGTCAGAATCATATTTTCTCCAAAAAAGATCAAACGGGATGATGATCTTGTGTGTAAGAATAGTTGACAATTTTAACACTAATCTATGGTAGAAGTCCATGGTATCTCAAAGTGGAGTGAATAAATTCATACGCAAGACACACTAAGTCATCTCAAATGTTTCGGACTATCAATAGTCCATCATCAGCAGAAACATTTTTAAGACAATTTCTACAAAGAAAAATTTTTTTAGTTACAAAAATTATACCTTAGGTTATATACTCACGTGGAAATGAAAAAAAAGGGGCAATACTTGTTCATCCAAGTGATTAGAATTCGAATGGGGCCCATCATGAGAATCATGGTTAACCTGACGTGGTAGAGCGGTGAAGGGGGAGCTTTTAACTTGACATGGGATGCGTGAAGTATGTCTCAAATGACAAGTGACACAAAACTATCCTGTGGCATGAACAAAGAATATCAGACGAGAGGCGAGATAGATGCAGGGCCGTAATGAGTCACATGTCAAATGGATAACGACAATTTTTACAAAGCATTTTTGAAACAACCAGGTAAACTGAGAAAGGATTCAAGATGAGGCAAAGTCGACACTGCTGTCGACCGATAGGAAGCTACTTGAGTACTTGTCCGCATACTTTCTCTCAATTCTAATAAGACTCAACCATAAATTTTTCGCCAAAGAAATAAACAAAATATTGATCTTAATATTAGAATAAAAATGGAACGTTTGAAACAAATTACCTATACCAAATATTTTTTATTTGGATTGATGAGAAATGAACATGGGAAAAACATATTGACATCCTCATAGGAAAAGTATCGCCCATTATTGGTGCTTTAAAAAGATGTCCTAAACTTAGTACATATACATCAAATATTATTCTCTATTCACATATACTCAGTCGAATTAACTATCTCATAAATATTTGGGGATCTTGTTCCAAAAATAGTTTCAACAAAATTTCTGTTCTATATAAAAAGGTAATGAAAGTATTGTATCGTCTACCATATGATACTCCAACAAATCAACTGTATAAGGAAACAAACACATTTTCTTTGGGAGAGCACTTTTTAATCAATACTCTCAAAATTTCCTTTTATATAATTTATTACTTTTATATAATTAGGAATTTCCAAATTCATGGTCATCGCACTAGACAATATAACTTGTTTCATCTTGATGTTGCAAATTCTAAACTTGGACAAAAAAAGTTTACACATGAGGCGATTTTCGAAGTTCAATAAATTACCAGATGATATGATCGAAGCTGAAAGACTATGAATTTCCTTTTTTTTTCTTCACTGTTTCTTTTTTTTTCCTTCTTGTTCACTATAATATGGGTACTGTTATTTTGAGATATCTTAATGATATGTAAGTTTTGTTCACTATTTGTAATTTCAATCATACAGTCGATAATACTTCATGAATGATCTTATACCAGGAATTACTGACTGATCATTCATGTCATTCCCACTAGAAAATTAATTATACTTCATATATTATTTGTATAAAATGTATCAATGGAGAAAAGAATGTAATGCAATAACTGAAATAAATAAATACTCGCCGCTGTTGCTATGGTTACGCCCAACATGTTATCGAAATATCATCGTGTTTGACGTCTTGATGTTTCGAAATTGGTACACCTTGAAATTATTAAAACATCAAATCTTTTTCTAATCGTCCTTTTTTGTATACTCCAAATATCGTTAGAGAAAGTAGAGTCAACAACACGTTTGGAATGGATTATTCCAAACTTCTCGCTCGTTTGGAATTTAAGCCATTCCAATAAATTATATCAAATTTTTCACACTTTTGCAACAAATATATTCATTCCTGATTAGGAACTTATTACATTGTATATATCAGGATCACTTGAGAATATCTGTCATTTGGAAATTCGACTATGACATCAACAGCATTAATATTTTTCTATTTTTTGGTATTTGATAACTTTCAACTACTACCTGATACCTCAAGAATTGTTCATTACCTTGACACCAGCTCCCATAAGACTAAACCGCAAGCATACATGTCAATTCGTAGGAAGGCGTCGGGGGTGAAATTGATGGCACCTTCGAGAACCTCGGGAGCCATATATCTATAAAAAAAGAAGCAGTTATTGAAAAGCAAAAGAGTAAAAACGACTGACGTCTAATGGGGAAGTTTCCTTGAATTTTCATAGAATAAGTTAGGAACTCTCCAGTTTTATGTCCACGCTGTACAGAATGGCGACCGATAAAGTCCAAGTCGTTTTCATTTTCAGATTAATGCAATTTCTCATTTGCGGGGCGGCAACCTGTGACGTACATTCTGAATCTAGTCTGAAAATAGCTGATGGTGAAGAATATAGCTAACGAATAGCTAACGAATGAAAGAAATAAAAGAAGTAAAACTGGTAAACAAAAACATACATAACCACAAATGCACTCGAGCAAGAATTCAGAAGGTAGTTGGCTCCATTCTGGCAGGTTATGGTTTTGTTATTTATGCATTGAAATATCTCGAATAGAGCTCAATCCTAAACGAAAATATCATTGGATCAATGAATCACTGTCGGCTATATTCAAAGTTACTATCCTCCCTAACTTACTGCCATCGGTCAGAACAGAATGAAGCCGACACACATGGCTCCTTCCTCTTGTTGTGCCTGTCAGTATTTTGAGTGGTGTGGATGGACTCGAAGTATTAGGCGCTGTTGCAAGATATAATCTGCAACTTTCTTAGAAAATAGGTCCGTTTTATTAAGGAACGATTTCATTAGCAAGAAAATAACTGACAAGTTATGAATAACATATTGTAATATAACGATAGTGAAAAATTATAGATACTATCGCGAAATATCATTATTTATCTTCATTAATAATGAACTTCATTCAGCCAATGAGAGATTTATGGGAATTATTCATAATACTTGACAAAGTAGGATGGAAGAACCTATTATATCCCATTTCTGTTATGATATAGTTATTAGGCATTCAAAGAACAATTTCCGGAAATCTTGACTATTGATGATGACGGCAACGTCGTACTGGCACAGAGCATCGTATAATAACTCTGTGAATGTGGATTTTCAGAAAGTACGTCCTAGGAATGGTGGAGGAGCCAAGTTCCTCTTTTATTTATTTTTTCTGAAGTGAAATTTGATCTTACGAAAATAAGAAAAAATAAGTATTATATTAATTTTTTACAAACTTCACAGTGAGATAAAAAACTTAATATAGGAAACTTACCCATTTTTGATCAGAAAAATTGAACAGTTTCAAAACTTCAGGCAGTCTTGCATTACATGTCAAAATTATAAAAAATCATAATACTTGACAAACAGTGCGTCCCATGGACGTTCAACTGTATTTCAATAGAGATAGCTCCCTATACAATATCATATACAATAAATATCAAGGAAATATTTTGCAATTTTCGAACTGATCCATCTGTGAACTGTGATCAGAGTCAATCAAGCCCGGTTAACGACCTTCTTTTATGATAGTAATAACGCGGCACTATCTTTTTTGTTGTTGAATTTTTTGACCAGGGAAAGGCAACATTTCATTCATAAAAGTCTGTTTGTTAAAAATTGCTTTATCAGTAGCTCTACCTCCATATCCTTGAATGCCAACAGAAATCAGTCTTGGTGAACTGATATTGCAATAAGAATTTGGGTCATTCCGTATATTTAAACAGCTTCTACAGGGTTTATCATTGGAGATAGGGAAAAACTTCGAATGCAGAAGTTGTAGGGTTTGTTCTGAACCTCCAGAAAATTATACCAGATGAAACAAATGAATACCACTGATATAAGAAATGGGTACCAACTTCCTTATTTTCGAAAAAATGTAAGATCTTTTTTTCCTGATTCCAAAACTATATTGGTCATTGATATTTGGTTCAGCCGTTTTCGAGATATTCGAGGTTGAACATTTTAGATTTAGTTTTAATTTGATTTCACCAAATCGCAATTGCCATGAGGAAAAAACAACACATACGCAAGTTGTCATCAATAAAACGTTCTGTCATATGTTCATTGCATAGAATTTCGGAAGAAATATGGGTTTCAGTGAAGATGAAAAGTTTGAAATGATTCGTTTAGTCTACAAAAAATAATAATAATGCAGTGGAAGCTCGAGACACCTCATCAAGTTATGCCCGTACGGCATCACTTGAATGATCGTTATCAAACGTGGATCGGAAAATTTGGAACAGTGGAATGGCCACCGAACAGTCCAGATTCAACACCTTTAGATAACTTCCTATGGGGCTATTTGAAGAATGAAGTGTATAAGGAAAGAAGTAGAAATTTGGCTGATTTGAGAGGAAGAATTTTGGAATGCATTAAAATATTGAACAATCATCACTCCAACTTCATTTGCAATTCGATAAATAAATTGGATAAAGACTACAGAAAATGTATACAAAACAACGGTGGTCACATCGAAAATCTGTGAAATTGCATCTCCTTCAGTTATAAAAGTGAGTTTTTTTTCTTTCATGGCAGTTGCGATTTGGTAAAATCTAAAATGTTCAACCTCGAACATCTCGAAAACGGCTGAAACAAATATCAATGACCTATATATTTTTGGAATCAAGAAAAAGAGATCTTGAATTTTTTCGAAAAATATATAGGGTGTTCCATTGAAAATAACGAAGTTGGTACCCATTTTTTATATCAGCGATATTCATTTGTTTCATCTGGTATAATTTTCTGGAGGTTGCGGCGAAACTCAATTAATCTCAGGGGGTAGTTTATATGGGTCCACACTGTATATGTGGTTTCTGGGTATGAAAAACTCGCTAAGTCGGACAGACCAAGTTTCAATTCCACCCAATCGTAGCATGCGTCTAAAACTGACAGAGAAAACTAAATACAACATTTTTTCCCACGATATGATCCGAATACAATTGACAACTAAGTAGCAAAGATAATCGAGTCCAGTAAACTATAAGCAATATATTTTAATGACGTAACTCACCTGACAGATCAGGCACACTGTTGCTGAAATAATTATATTTCAGGACAGATGAGAACACAAAGATTTTGTGCAGTCAATGGCAAACACTTTCGAAATTGGGGAAAACTTTTGGGTTGACGATATCAACTTGGATATATTTTACGCACTTAACACTTCCAAGAGCAACAACGTTCGAAATTTTCACTTTATTATAAAAACGGGAGCTCGCTTCTTTCGGTATTCGACAAAAACTAGAAACAACTAATTAATTTTGAAACGAGGATTCGGACACAGGGGAGTACCCGTGGGGATAATGATAAAGTATGAAATGCTATATAATTGGCATATAGCAATCTCGTATTGGTTTCGCTACAAGGTTCAGAACAAACCCTACAACTTTTGCTTTCGAAGTTTTTCTCTATCTTCAATGATGAACCATGTAGAACCTGTTTAAATATACGGAATGACCCTGTACAATAGGAGCACTGAGGAACTGAACATATCTTTCTAGATTTCTGTTTTCACAGTTTTCTGTACTTGCTGCATGTTTTGGGAAAACAGTAAACTATCTCGTAAATACAAAAACATATTGGAAAACTTCAAAATTTATCAAAATTCACTCGATTGCACAATGCCAAATTTGTTTGTTTTGTTTATGACCTCCACCATTTTCATTTTGCCGCTCGACAAAAGAGGACTGGGGAAACAGTGACGTCAGGCCAGAAAAAATATGAGGCAACCTTATTAGAGTTAAATGGCCTTGAGCTTTACCTTCTGGTGCCGACTTGGCCGTGCGTGTCCCCGCAAGACTTGCCGGCCTGGAACATGATGGCCAGCCCGAAATCGGCGATGCACACCGTCATGTCGTTCTTCAGCAGCACGTTCTTGCTCTTGAAGTCCCTGTGGGCGACCGACGGTTTCGCCAGTTCGCCGGGAAATTTGCCAGGAATGGCTTCGTGCAAGTGCATGAGACCTACAATGGAATCGAGTTCCTTCCATATACGTATTAATAATCAATACGGATAATCTCTATCTGTTTCCATAGCGAAACATGAAGCCGATTTTTGAAGACAAATGACTATCCATAAGGAAAAGTTTTGAAACGATCAGACACATACTGCTTTGATTGAAAGGCTAGTAAACGTCATTGTCCACCGAAACGCATGTCTTTGATGACCACTATAATAGCGCATGGCGCATGCGTAACATGCCACCAAATCCTTATGGATATTCATTTGTTTCATATTTTTGGCTTCATCCTGGCACCCGTTATGATCCGTATTGTTTATTAATACGTATATGGTTCCTTCACATTAGGGTCCCTCGATGTAAATTGACGTATTTGTCATCTTAACAGGGTACGGACAGATCTTCGTCTCCTCTCACTCTAAGGTGTTTGTGAAACAGTTATATAGTTCTATCTTTATTCATTTATGACATTTGTTGTTTTTTAGGTTATATTGAGGACATTGGCGTATCATACGTAATTTCCACATGTAATTTCTAATTCAACTCTACATATTATATCCAAATGATGATGATAATTTTCGGGTTTTTGATTTTTCAACTCAAGCATAATCTTTGTGAGGCAGTGAGCAAATTTTTCTGAAAGTTTAATACGTTTTACCAAATGGGACTGTTCTTAGGCAATACCTATCAATAAATGAATTTTGATTTCAGACTAAGCCTTATGGTTGAGAAATGGTGAAAAATTTCATGTAGGTATTCAAACTAATGTGCTCATATGTCATGTGTGCTGTATAAATTCATGTTGGGAATCATTTTTGCAGTTTTTCACGAATACTTAATATATCCTGAATGTAGGTATATTTTTTTAAATGGTAGGGCATATGCCTCTTCTTTTAATCCTCCGTTTTAATCAACACTGATTCTACTGAAATGCATTCAAAAACTTGTGGAGTGGATAATTATAGGCACAATGGGAAAGTATGATATGTGATCTGGTATTAGTTTTACCTGAATATTTTGCTATGTATTTACCAATTTTCCCCATTCGGTGACTTCACTTTCCATGTTCTAAGTTCATTTACATGATAAAAAGCTGACAAATTCAAATTTGCCATCCAACTGATTGATACAGCATAACGCAGCACATTTTACAATCCTTCCAAAACAGAATCGAATAATGTCGTATTAAGATAAAGTATGACATTAAAATTTTGTAAGATCTCTTTTAACTCCAATGAATGTGATGTGACAGCAATGTCATGTCAGGGACGCCAATACACTAAACCAAAGTCACTAGATGATTAAAAGAGAAAGGAGCTATGATCTGTCTGTACCCTGTTAGATGACAAATACGTCAGTTTGCATCAAGGGAGCCTACTTCACATGGATAAAACGCTTTCAAATTCCGACACAAAGTTGACGTTTCCCCAGAAATGTCATTCTTTGACAGCATTTGCACTCGTGAGTGGAAATATTGAAAAAACGCTAGCATATCGCTGTAACCTACACCTATCTATAACTCGCGTGCACGATGACCGACTCTGGAGGCAAAACATTGAAACACAACCTCACTTTTTTTTATTTGTTTACCATACGAATCGTGTTTTTGCGCTATTTATTAATTCAAGCATGCCATCAATGCAGGTTGTGTTTCAATGTTTCACCTCCAGGGTCGGTCATCTGACAGTTCTTGCACGCAACCCATTCTTGAAAACCCCCAATTTTTTCATGATGGAAAATAGTGACAGTGAGCTATCAAACACACCTCCTGATATAGCAGAAAGTGTTGTAACTTTGAATCTCTTACCGGAGAAATCAAGGAAGAAATTAGAATTACAATATGATACATTCATAAATTGGTGCCACTCCAAGAAGGTGATGGTGAAGTATTCAGAAAACGTTTTACTGGCCTATTTTAGTGAAAAATCAAAGACCTTTGGAGTCATCAACTCTTTGGTCTATACAGGGTGTCCGTTTTTCGAGCTCCACCATGGATATCTCAGTTATTATAAGAGATATGAGGTCGTATTCAGTTATTGAATTATTGGAATCATTTTCAGTTATTGAATTATTGGAAGAAAACGAAAATTTATTATTTTCGTTTTTACTTTTTCAAGCGGAAACCAAAAGACCTAGACGTTTCTGACTGGGACATTCTCAAGGCACTTTTTTACAAGAAATCTGAATCTGTCATTGTATTTTCCATGACGTTTTTCACATTTTTGAAGTCTTTTTTTTATTACAATGATGTATCACATGATATGATCGCATCTTTTCTATTGATCAAAAAAAACATTTTTGCAAAGAGTGCTTTGGGGAAAACGCCAATAGTTTTGTTCAACATGCTGAATTTCGAGTTTATTTGAATTTGGATCTAGAACGTTCACATTTTCGTCAAGTTCATCTACTTAAAACTATGGTTTTGAATTAGGAACGACGTCATGAGCTAGAAGTTTATTCTTTGCAAAACAAAACAAAACAAAGTCTAAACACAATTCAATATGTCCCGTCTTCTTATCTGTTCACTACAGAGAATTGAAGCAGGAGGACATTTTTTGCGTGAAAGATATTGGCGCTTCAGAATGTGCTTTGAAAATTACAATTTCCCCAGTGGCATGATAGTTTGGGGAGGTTAAACCCATACAAGGCGTTGAACTCTCCGCCACTGACATGTCCAAGGAAATTGATGAAGAGCTTTAGAAATAGTCATTATTAATGATGATGTGTGTACAAAGGCTCAGCTCCGTAGCTCAAACGGTTCCTGAGATGAGAGCAATTTTTTTGACGCCCTGTATCTTGAAAACGGAAGCCCGGAGAAAAATTTCGTAGGAAAAAAAAAAGTTCCCTTTTTTTATGAGGAATCTACAGTTTTCCATTGTGACACTTATTTGTTAACACAATGTATAGGTCCATACCAGACAGATCTGAATGGAATGACGGAGAACTCAGCACCATACTGCAGGGAACGATCTGGTATACAGACGGGTCCAAGACTGCGAATGGGTCAGGAGCAGGAGTATACTCCAAACATCCGGAAACTAGCCTCAGCTACTCATTGGGGAAGTATGCTTCAGTTTTCCAAGCAGAGATGTACGAAATTCTCCAATGTGCGGAAGAAAATAACAGGAGAGCTGCGGAAAACGAGCAGATCCGTATTATGTCAGACAGTCAAGCGGCACTTAAGGCTATAGAAAGCCAGGAAGTGACATCTCGACTGGTATGGGATTGCAAGAGGGAACTGAGAACTCTGGCAGACCGGAACTGCGTCAAGCTAATCTGAGTGCCAGGTCATCAGGGGATCGCTGGCAATGAGAAGGCTGACGAACTTGCAAGAAGAGGGTCGGGCAACGAGCCAGATCCAGGACAGACTCTTGGAGTACCAAAAGGTACAGCACGAGTGTCAGTTAAAGACTGGATTCAGGCAAGACATAAGAGCTAATGGGAAATCATCCCAAGAAACAGACATGGGAAACAATACATTAAGGAACCAAGTCATAAACGAACTGCAGACCTGCTCAACTTGAACAGAGCACAGATAAAAACTGTTACGGGACTCATGACTGGCCATGCGCCAGTAAAGTAGCATCTCGCCAGAATGGGACTGTACAATGGCGACCCAAGCTGCAGACTATGCGGCAAGGAACCAGAAACAGTAGCACATATACTGTGCCGATGTGAGATATTGGACCGCAGAAGACAGAAGATCTTTGGGCAACCAGTTGGCGAACCAGAAGTATTCAACTCACATCCAGTGAAGGATTTGTATAGACTTGTTCAAGGTACAGAGATAATGGAGTGGGCACAATAAAGAACTACTAGGTAAGATACAATGGGCCACCATAGGCCTAAGTGTCGTCGGAGACATGGTCAGACGAGCCTACAAACGGGGTGGAGTTGTTAGTGGGTAAACCCTGGCTAGAGTCAGGAGAGTCCCACACTATCATATGGGGGATTGGACCCATATGGTGTCCTTGAAGGATTTAAACCACCTCGACAAAAAAAAATAGGTGAATACCTAAACTTGAGAGCACTTTACTGTAAGGAATTTGAAACTGAATGTCTGTAATTTTTAGTTATTGAAAACATTTAACAAGATTTTCAAGTCACTAACCCCTGGCCATACTTTCGGCGATGCGACAAACTTCGGTCCAAGTCAAAGTATGAGCTTTGAGGTAATCACACAGAGAGCCTTTCTCATGATAAGCAGTGATCAGCCAGAACTCTGCCTGCAAATTATCGCCCCGCTTTTCCACGCCGATGTAGTGCAGGATATTGGGATGCTCCATGTTGGGCAGCTTGAAGATTTCTTGTTCTGTCTGCCAAGATTGCTTGTCCTATGAAAATTCGTAATAGGTGATCAATAATATGATAATAATAAAGATTTTCATTTTAATTACTCTCGGCGAAGCCCAGCTTGATAGCTGCTTTACTCAACAGAGTACCATGACACATTAAACAATAACAAATACATTAATGAAATCCATGAGACATTATGAATGAATGAATGAATGAATTTATTACGTTCCAAAAAACATAAAAATGTCATCTTGGAACTAGTTACAAGTCATTATAGTCTTACAAATTACATAATATCGGTCATAATAATTAGATTATTGATTCAAACATGTATCAATTTAGTAAATATACCCTAGTTTGTACAATAGTAATATATGGGTAACCTTTTTCAGGTAGCCGTGCGGACAGTGTCAGTATTCTAATCCGCATTCGCTTGCCGGTCGTGGGTTCGATTCCCAGCGACTGCAGAAATTTTTCTGATTGTGTTTGGGATCACACGTTAAAAGGTAAGCCCCCCGTCATTCCTTGCTCGCACAAGACTCTCGAAGACTTCTGAGGGTTGCTCGTAAGGGGGCAACCGAATGACGAATAGAACAACAACAATATGCTATATACAAGTATCTAATTGTACAAATGGCTGCAATATTGATGATTTCTTCTTACCTGTATTGGAAATATTTTCACGGCTATTTCTTCAGTTTTGAACTGCGCCTTCCAAACGGAACCGAAACGCCCTCTGGCTTTGATTTCGATCAGTTGAATCGGTCTAGTGTCCAAAATGGGAGTGGGAGGTGAAAGTTGATGGGGTTCCGACATCGGTAACTGAAATGAGGAAGTTTTCTTCTAACGAATTTCCATAAAAAAACTTTGCTGTGCCAGATTTTTTCACTACATAGTGTCTTTAAAAATGAGAATAATCGACTGCAAATGCTTTCAAGTTAGGATTTTAGTTGGTTTTTATTTATTTCAAAATTCAACGTGTTTAGTATAGAAAATATTCTGGTTATTATTGAAATATATATACTCACCGGCAAAAAAACGGCCACCAAAAAAATTAACCAAATTGGGAGCCCTGTAATTTTTTATATTCTTGCCTGATTTTGGTGAAATTCCAACCAAATCGGAGACTGACGTATTGAATTTTAGCTGATGGCTTGATGAATATACAGGAAAAAACAAAGCGTACTATTTCACGCTCAACTTCTCAATGCCCTGTGGCAAAAGTGATTGGGTAAACCTATGTTCATTTTGTTTTGGATTGAAGTGTGAACCCTTCTCTACACGATGGTTTTTTATTCACGTCAATATCTTCTTTATAAAAGAAGATACAAGTGTTTCTTTATATATGCTTCTAGAATTGATATCACTTATTTTCACCCCGTTTTTTTTAAACTCACCAACAAAAAGAAACCTTAATTACTCAGTCAATAATGAGTATGCCGTCCTCGAAATTGAATTACAGCAATCAACCGCCCTCACATTATGTTGAACAAATTTCTATAGCAGTTTTGTTTTTGTTTTGGTTCCCACGAAAAAGGATATCCTGTAATGTTCAGAGAACATCGTGAGAACCAAGGGAACTAAGGTAGGAATTGGTGTTCTCTTTAAATTTCTGGAGGTATTATGCCTCGTAGAACACCTTCCTTGGCAATGTGTTCCAGAGCTTCGCTGCTCGTTGGATAAACGAGTCTTTGGAAAGAGATGTTCTGCAGGTCTCCAGAGTGACCAAAAAGGGGTGGGAAGCCTCAACTCGACGGGTTAATCTCGCGGGGACTGACAAGGGAAGAACAATTGCTGATATTTCAGAACAGCATCGTCCATGAAAATATATATAAAATAGAGCCAGATCGCCAACTTTTCTACGGTGTTCCAGAGAAGTGAGTGAGTTTGTGAGCGAGGCATCACTCACGAGGCGAATTGCCCTTTTTTGAACATGCTCGAAAAAGTCAAGAATGAACTATAATATCATGAGTTCCTCCTATTATGTTTCATTCAACGACAGGACTTTTACATCTTTTTGATAACTTGATTATAATTGATGACTTGACAAATTTGCTTCGTGAGGGGGAATAGAAGATTATTTGACCAATAACGAAACAGCATAAAAGCTGACGTCACCACTTATTCGACGTATCGCCAAATGGTGGCCATCACGGTACGTTTGAAATGACCTCCGAAATTAAATAATTTCGAACAACGCATACACTCATTATTCACATAAAAAAAGTGTGAGAAGTGTTGCAAAAATTAATTTAGGTCCCTAACAACACAATGGAATAATTGAATGCCAATAATTCTCTGACAAGGCCGGAAGAAGGAAAATGAACCGCTGGATTTCATCCCAAAGATGCTCTATAGTTTCTGAATTATTGTTGATAAAAATGTTAAAAATCCATACTTTCCTTGTATCTTTTTCAAAAAATAAGATATTGACGTGATTCACAAACCATTGTGTAAAGAAGGGATCACACTACATGATAAAGCTAAGTTTAACCACCCACCTCTGCCACAAAGCAATAAGAAATTAATGGTAAGAGTAACTTTGGTTATCCCCGTATACTGATCAAGCCATCAGTTTTTTTTTTTCAATTAAAATGATTCAAGTTATCTTTCAAACACATTTTATTATCTCTTGGAACGCACAAATGGAAATTCTTATGATGGTCTAAGATCACGCATACCTAGAGAGAATAGGGAGAGGAGTTAGGAGTTGAAATTTTTCAACTTGATATTTAAAGATCAAGATGATTAGTTAATTGAGAATCATTTTCAGTTGAACTTGAAAAAAAATATTTCTTCTCGAGTGTGAGTCTTACTTTACTGTCTTCTTTATTTTGTCAGATATATTCATAACGGGTGACACAGGAGACATGTAACAGCCTGTAGTTTTTTTATTCAAATAGATAAAAATTTGAAATTCACAAGATTATCGATAATGGCGCTTCCCTTGAACCCATTTACAATTTTCTTCAACCACCTGTTTGATTGGAAGTAGATCCAACTTTTTTTTTCAAATTGCACCCTGTATATTTCTGTAGCCTATCTTATTTGCCTTGAAATTCTCTATTCAACTATGTATCACAATTTGGTATTCTTTCGGTAATTGGCTGTTAAATTGCATTTTATTGAAATACATGAAGTTGGCATGGCCAGAATGCAATGACATTTCAATGCTTGATAGGCTTAGAAATCCAAAGGTCATTACTTAGACGACATTATCAGAGTATTTTCCATACCCTAATGGGTCCCAGAAGATTGGCAATAATTTCATTGTTTAAAAAAATCAAGCAAAAATAACTCAGGATATCGAGAAAACTAAGATAGAAACTCAGTTTTTTTCATTTGACTACTTGTGAAGAAACTATTTGTCTTTAATAATATGATCATCCATTTGAATACATGAAACTGAAATTGTTATGGGTATGGAAAATATTCTGATAATATCGTCTAAGTGATGATCTTTGGATTTCTAAGCCTATCAAGCATCAAAATGTCATTGTATTTAGGCCACAGCCAACTTCATGTATTTCAATAAACAATTTAACAGCCAATTAATGAACAAATATCAAATTGTGATACATAGTTGAATAGAGAATTTCAAGGCGGATAAGATAGACTACAGAAATATACAGGGTTCTATTTGAAAAAAAAAGTTGGGGCTACTTCCAATCAAACAGGTGGTTGAAAAAAATTGTCATTGGGTACAAGGGAAGCACCATCATCGATAATATAACCCTTGTGAATTTCAAATTTTTATCTCGTCAACTAAAAAAACTACAGGCTGTTTCATGTCTCATGTGTCACCCTGTATATTCACCATGTTCCCTGCTATAAACAAATGTTGTTTCTTGGGAATAATAAAGTTGATTGATTGATAAATTATTATATATAATATGTTCATAAATTCTTGGTTAGACTTAAAAAATTATATTTTATGTATATTGAAGTAGGGCAGATATACAAACTGGGCATTGTTAATAGACAATAATGTATGAATAATGGCCTGCAATGATCTCTGGATGATGCACCTGTCATCATCTTGCTTCCTTCTGTAAAATAAATACTTCAAGAGCCAGATAAACCTCATTGTTCTAGATCAATCTAGACCATGAGCTATGACAGATTGAATTAACATTGTTTTCCTTCATTAATCCCAAAAAACTAGTACAAGTTCATGAAGGCACACTCTGCAGCAGTCTACTAACTCATACATTATCATTATATACAGAACATACAATTTACAAATGTAATATAGAAGTTTCAGGATATAGTAAGAAGCTGTTTTCCTCAAATAATGAAGTAGATAGAATATATAATTGACAATAATGTCAAAAAAATATTCCCTGAGATACAAATGTCAAATGTAGGTTGATTTGAGTTAAGCATTAGTTAAGCAACATCAAAGAATTTTGGTAAATAAAAAATATATGGGCATGAGTTGAATAGTCCACAATCTACAAAAAACATAATGACTGGCTTGAAAATGTACTATGCTGCAAAGAATCACATCAGTTGGATAGATTAAAAAAGATTATGAAGGTTTTAATGAGCTATTAGGTTTCAATACATAAGTTAGAGTTAGACAGCTAGAAAAAGGTGAACATACCCCATTGAAATAGTGTTTATGCCTTCTGGTCCATAGATAACCTGCTCCACCAAGTAGTATAACACATCCAACCACTACAATTATCAAAATATAATAGTAAATTTTGTGTTCACTTAATTCATTGATGGGCACAGCAGCTGAAAATTATAATGTATTTTGCAATCTTTTTTCTATTATGAATGCTGATTGAGAATGAAAACAAGTAAGTTTTATGAGGGTGAAAAAATAATATAAAATAATCACATAATGAGAGGTTCAATAGGTCATGCTGCTAGTTTCTCAAAAATGCAAACTTTTTCACTGTTCCAAAATCCACTTATTGTTTTCAAAATATTATATTATGATGCTCTAATATCTTACTGGTAGGTGGTGGTGCTTCAGTAGGTTGGGGATCCCAGGAATAATTTTTATTGCACCTATTTCCTTTACAACAACAGAAGAGTAGATTTTTTTTGGGAGAGAATGTCTTTTCCACACATTTTTCATTGTCAGAACACTGTTCTGATGATGTGAAGCAGCCCTGGAATATTTAGCATGAAAGGATTTTTTTTATCAACAACAAAAATCAGCACAATTGAATCTGCCACTATTTGGCAGGTTAAAGATTATGTTATTTCCAAAATATTAATATACATTCTTTGATGGAATGATACTTTGATCTAAAGAAATGAAATACAACCCATAATGATATATATTGTTATTGAATATGGTATATGGCCTTGTATATTTCAATAAATGTTCAAAAAACAATTAAGGATATTTTATGAATCCACATCAACATATTTTGAATGTCAAAATGATACACAACAGGTATTTAATCACTTCTTTTCTAAGAACTGTCTCAGAATGGTTAGAGGTTGGAAGTAATGAAATAAATACTAATTTGGTAATAAGAAATGAACTAACCTCATCTTGATGATGAAGTTTTGAGAATTAAAAAGGTTAATATTAATTACACAAATAGTAGTTTTGTAAAGTCAACATTTCTTGTCACTCAAGATGCAGCACAAAAACAGGGGAAAATATGAAAATTCTGTATGATACCCATAAACTGAGTCAATCTAGATCATTCAAAAGAAAATAGTGTAGTTCATAGGCTTAATCATTACAAACTTCATTCATATCATTTAATAGTAATGTATCTTGCATATAAGGCAGAATTTTCAGCTGATTATGATATGAAAAATTCTAGTTGACATAACAATACTCAAATATTTTTACCTTCAGAAAAACATCTGTAGCCCCATCTTCTTTTATGGACCACAAAACAAAGCAACCAGTATGATGGCCATCATGTGCACATTCTACCTCATCCATGCACCCCTCTTGCTCTTTACAAGTACTGTTGTAGTACTCACAGTGAGTAGTTGATACAGAATCAGATGAATGTGCTACTGCAGCTTCAGCTTGAGATGTATCTGAAATATGATATCAAATGATGTTTGTTGTGGTAGAATTTAGATTTTCCTGGGCACTTACCTCTTTCAGAAAGTAATACAATAGCCAGCAGTAGTGCACTGACAAAACACTTGTTAACTGGATGATTCATTTTGAAAGTTGTTGAAAAATAAATGTGTTTTATTATTCCACAACAATTCAAACATGAAGAACTTGTCCCAGGTCAAGAAAGACCAAAAACGTCACATATCATATAACAACACATTGTGAAACTATCCATTCAAGAGTTGCTGAAAATAGTTGATGAATTTTCCATTGATTTGTTTACGAATCTGGTACATATACAAGAAAACATTACAACAATCACATCCGCGTTTTCATCATTTCCATTTTATAAACAGCATCAATCCATCAATCCGCCATTGAAGTATTGAAGGAAGATGGAAGCAGGCCTGTTCGTGGCGGAAAACATATAGTACTAGATCACACTCCGAAAAAGCACAAGAACTGGGAATTTAGTACTGAATTTAAATTTTATTCAAATTGGCCGCCTTTTATTCGCAAAATTCAAGCTTATCAAAGAAAAATATAAGTGGAATAATTTCACTACATGAAAATATCGACATGAAAAATAAAATCGAAATGATGCAAATATTTTCAAAATGGAATAAATTTATCAAACTTATGAGAATCATGAACTGGGCAATGCAGTTTCATCCACTTGGCGAACAATGTGAACCTAATGATCTCAAAAAACATTTAATACTAGATTTCATCGAAAGGTACTTCGATACTGATCCGAATAGTACTAAATCTAGTACGTAAGTACTGACTGGAACAAATTATCACAATGTCAAACGTCAAAATTGCTGAACTTGTCAAATTTGTTTTTTTTTTGTCTCTGTCCATGGCATGATGTAAACAGGGAGAGCCACAAAAAATATCAAGTTCAGCAGGTAGAGCAAGCACAAATGAACAGGCCTAGTGGCCTAGTGAATAGACCTTGGTGAACGTACGCCTCTGATTTGATCTATGGAATTGATGGTCAACTGAAAGGTGTCAACTGTCAGCAGTGTCAACTGTCAACAATCATGAGCAAAATACTGCAAATTATCAATGTCATAAATGTCAGAAAATAGTTATATTTATTTTGATTTTTCACCTTTGATGGTATAAAATGTACGTAATTGTAAAGATTGTTTCCACAATATTCGTGTACTATAGAAGATAATTAATTCTGAGTTATAGTGACTATACATAAATGCATCCGGTATGCTGAATTGCATGTTATTCATCTAATGCAGATCTAATGTAAAAGATAAGTGGGCCAAAACTACATATTCATACAAGTTGCTACAAAGAAATGACCCTGATCGAAGCTTTGAGTGATGAAGTATTTCATTTCTTGATAGCCTTCTTCGTCATTGGCATTGGTAACAGGAAAACCATTAATGTGTGTTAATTCATCTGGCAGGTTCTGAATTTCAGTGTCTTTTGCTTGGTGGACTACCAATATCAATGAACAGAGACACATAAGGACTGTTTTGTTGCTGGAGAGGACCATAAGACATAGGTTTCATAGAAGACTCACCAACCATACTGAAGCTATTACAATATCTGAGGGTGAGTCAAGCTCACAACTATCATAACATATGTTTGAAAATGTTCTTTTTTGAACCTGTAGGTACAACACCTATTTGTAAATGTGAATTTCAAGTGTTTTCTATGTTTCCTGTTTTAAATTCACGGGACTAATACAGTTGAATAGAATCATACTAAAATATACAACAATGCAAATAATTCTGAAGGTCAAGACTTATTTGAAATGTTAATTCTCCCATGATCTTGCATTCATTTTTAGAATTACAATAAAACCTCATACCCTTGCTCATAGTGCTCATACCACTGAATTCATATTAATTTTAATTAATTATTTGTTGAAACATGAAGGTTCTATCTGGTTTCAGAACAATTTTAAATAAATAGTAGCAGTAGTCAATATAGAACCATTTTTATTCATACAAATTATATAATCCTGATTCAACAGCAAAATGTAGTTTATTCACCAAAAGCTATGGAGAAACCTATTGAGGATAAACTTGAAATTGTCAAAACATCCACAGTTATTCAATGACAATGATTTCATAATTTTGCTATTGTCATCTGAAAAAGACAATGTTCTTACATCATGGAGTACAAACTCAAATGTTCATTATCCAGGTACCAGTGATCCACCAGCAGTTTCTGAAGAAGTAACACCTACTACAGAACTTCCTCCTAATACAGAGCAGTCTCCAGACACTGATAAACCTCCAGAAGCCAGTACAAGCAATAATCCTTCAACTCCTCAAGTTGATGATTTGGTAGATGGTGATAATAGAGAAGAACAAAGTATTATCAATACAATGGATGCAGACACCTGTGTTGTGAGACAGAGGAGACTGGCATTTTATGATAATCTGAGGAATGAAACCCAAAATCAAGGTAGTAATTTTGCCAGGAAATTGAAAATTTATCATTCAACTGTCACAGTTTTGTATATCAAACTTCAATTCCTCAATGATTCACTATGAAATCCATTGATTTTCATGGAATTCATTGAAATTTCAATAATTTTTATGGCAGAATTTCAATGCAAGTTACCATCTTCACTATAAGTATTGTTTTATACATAATGTTAGTATAGGAAAGGAAGTGCTATCAGAACTATATTACATAATTCATAAAAAAATAATCTGAGAAAAACTCAATCCCTTCCATATACTGGGTAACCTATGGGGACAAAAGATAAACAACAGTTTCTTCTTCAGTTTCCTTATTTGTGAAAGTACTTGAATTGTTCAAACAAGAGAAATGTTTTATTATCAACCACAGAAAAGTGGATCTTGACAGAAATTTGTAATTTTTTTAGGATTTGCATAACAAATGAATAACATAAATAATGATCTGGAATTGAAAAAAGGTGCCACTCTAACCTTTCATCAATAAATACCAGATAAACTGAATACATGATTCTTCAACAAGAAAATAAACAGAAAATTCAGCTCAATCTTCAAATAATGAATGAATTCTTGAAACAAACTGAACAGATAAAGTATTTAGGTATTTGGTTTGAAGAAAAATTGAAGTGGGACAAATATATTGAGGTTCTGACAAAGAAAATATCTCCTATTATTGGTGCATTGAGAAGATGTCCCAAACTCAATATGAAAATTGCAAAAATATGCAAATGTTTGGGGATCTTGTTCTGAAAATAATTTTAATAAAATATCAGTATTATATAGGAAATCATTAAAGGTATTGTATTGTCTTTCATATGATACAGCAACAACTGAACTGTATGCTTCAACAAAAACAGTTTATTCAGAAGAACTGTTCAGATTAGGGAATCTAAAAATTTCATACATTATCATAAATGAAAAATTGGAATCTAATATTATTTTGACTAGAAATTTTTAAATTCATAGTCATCAAACTAGACAATACCTTGATGTTGCTAGTTCCACACTTGGACAAAAAAGATTCACTCATGCAGCCATTTCTGAGTTCAATAAACTACCAGATGAAATCACAAACTACAGAAATAAAGGTACATTTAAAAAGAAAGTAAAAAAACTGATCATTTCTGAGAGAAATGTTTTAAATTTTTCAGGAAATTATGTCCTTGACTAGAATTCTTTTCTTTGTTCATTGATTGTTTTGTTTCAGTGTGATTTATTGTGATATCCTGATTTATTCTGATTTATTATTCATGTTCACTTCTACTTATGTTTGTGTAGTAGTTCATAGATATTGATTGATTGATTGTCTTTATTACCCCAAGAAACATAGTTGTTTATAATAGGGATACATAAACATTATACATAATGTTATACATACAATTATGAAATTATAATAAGATATAACAAGGTAAAAAAAAAAAAATGCAAATAATCATGCAATATCAACCTAGTCTTTTATAAGTAGGTATTCAAATAAGAAATGGAATTATCAAAGTCTCTGAAGCAGATATTTTTTTAAGTTAATTTTGAATCTAGTTGCTTCCTGTATATTCCTCAAATGACTTGGTAATGAGTTGTATAGAACGATTCCTGTGTGAAAAATTGATTGTTTGCCGATATTTGACTTGAACGTATTTGCTATTAGTAAATTTGATTGTCTTGTTCCATGATTATGTAATGAATTGATTTCATTGAAATTTAAATTCGAAATTTTCAATTTATATAGGACAAATTGAATAAAACAACAAATTTTAAGTTTATATAGCGATGTCAGATCTAATAAATCTCTCATACCAGAACTTGTTCTGACTGGAATATATGTTTCATTGATAGATAATTAGATAGATAAATAGAGGTCACTAGCTTACTGAAAATGTGGTCAATAGGAGCAATTTTCACAAAAAATTGTTCAATGTACTACCTTCTTATTTAGAATGACAATAGTTACATCATCAGTAATATCACCATGCACACCTAGCCATTCCTTTCTTAAGCTATTTCAATGGTTATACAGGAACAGCAAATGAATTTGTTTTAGAACCAACCACCTCCTGTTCTGGAATTTATGAGCCTGCAGGAGTTCCATCCCAAGCAACTTCAAGTGTTGAAACTGAAGATAGCCCCAATAATTGTGAAGTTGGTGATACCAAGAATACAGAGGAGGGCAAATCTGGCTTGACCATCAAACTGAAATACATTAATGATGATATAAGGATAGTGGAGGGTAGCTTCACTGAATCTTTGGAGGATTTTAAAAAGTAAATAAGTTTTTTTCCAGGATATATATCACATTATATATACACTGCTGATGGATTTTGTGCTATAGTTCTGAAAAATAAGCAATAACACCATCTCTGAGAAAGAACTGCAGGTCCTTTTATCTTCCATTTGACTTTGTGGTTATGTAAATTACTAAACAACCACTAATTTCGAAATTTTTTAAGATCAAATCACAGAATTAGACTGATAGATATCTGATTACTTCAAAAGAATGATAATGATGTCTGCATCTCAGGTGTCAATCCTGTTATCCTATAGTTATACAGGTTGTGGCAAAATTTGCCACCAATTTTCTTGTTTTCAATAGAAACCTACTTTTTTTTACTCAGTTTGAGTAATTTCCTAATTTTCAGTTGAGGTAGCCTAATTTATGTCAACTTATCTATCACAGTTTTCAAAATACAGAGTGACTCAAGTTCAAAGTTTTTTTAATCCACAGAGAAGTTATGCTATCGGAAATGTCAAGTGTCATTACAAATATTTGGGTACATGAAATACAATAAAACATACAGTAAGTAAACAAACAAACAGGTATTGAAAGAATTCGTTCAAACTATAGAGGCAGGGGTCGAGGAGAAGCAATTTAATTGTATGTTTGAAAGTATGCAGTTCATTGATTAATTTTAATTCTTTGGGAAGAGAATTGTATAGCGTGAGTCCCAATATGTCCGAAGATCTCTGAGATATCGGCAAACGTACGTTGGGCATATAAAAATTATTCTTTGTTTGCGTTTGATTACTGTGTATTGAATTGAAAGCGGGTCACCCTCATTATTTTGTTATTTATGGAGCGAATTTCGCGATTTTTTTCCTGAAATGTAGATTGAGAAAAGGTATATTTTCCAGCCAAGCAGCGTTAATTTTTTTTAACCAATGCCCACTAGATCACATTCGGAGGCTGAAAAATCCAGAATCCTTATTAGCGATTTTCTTAGAGAAAATCCACAAACACCACTGGAATCGGCGTCTTCTGAAATAGATCTGTACCAAGTTTCATGTGAAAATATTCAACTTAGAGGCATCTACAGCATGTCTCATTTCAAAAGGTCCCCCTCTACAGGGTGTATCTAAATAACACTGAAAAAATTCAAGGGGTGTTTCCTTGTGACATTCTAGCAAATAAAGTTCATATAAACATGTGTCCTACTTTGCTCCATTTTCGAGATACAGGATATTGAAGTTGGAAGTATTAATTGTTTTTATTTTTAACCCCCCTGTATAAGCTTTCATGGTGCCAAAATTCAGTATGGATGGAGACTGAGAAAGCCCCAAAATATCAGAATGATTCTAATTGGGGCTATTGAGTAATCTCAATGGAAGTCTTGAATGGAAATTCTCAATTTCAGAAATTTTTATATTTTATTTTCAAACTCTTATCGTGTGTGTTCAATAGATATAATTCAATGTTCGTCGTGGCATATAGCCAGGAAAGTAGTTGTTTTCTATTGAATTAACTGAAAAAGAGTAAATATTCTCATCACATAGAGAATGCGAATTCTCAATGTATTGCTTTATATAAATATATATCCATTTTTGTATGTTCATAATTTATCTGAGAATATTCCTTTTCAACACCTACATTAAAATTTGGAGTCAAATCAAATTTTTATTGTTTCCTCAAAAACTAAGCTAGATACAAAAATCACACAGAGGATAACAAAGTTGTTATTACACAATCAACAGTTCAGTTCAATCTAATAAAAATATGAAACTCAGAAAAACCGGTGGTGTACAATGGCATTCACCATGAATATCGATAAATTCACCCACTAAGACGTCACCGGAAATATTATTTCGAATCTCATTTCACTAAAAGAAGCTCCATATTACTATTAACAAAACCACAACGTTTTATCGAATTGATGAAAATACAATTGAGAAATGAATAGAAAAAATATTTCTCATGGAAATATGAATACTCTGTATCTCGAAAATGAAGCAAATTAGGACACTTATTTATATGAACTTTATATCCTAAAATATCACAAGGAATCACCCCTTGAATTTTTTAGGTGTTATTTAGATACACCCTGCATGTATTTCGTGTGTAACTTGCTTTTATGGACATAGACGTCCTTAACCCTTCAGTACTATTATGTCGTCTGAGAGACTAAGCCCCTACTATTCTTTCCATATTATTGCGCAGCGCGATTCGATTCGGTTGGGCGGCTTGCTAAGAAGATTCCGAGTCGCATCAAGAGTTAAAACCAGAGTTAGTAGAAGTTCTCGAAAAGAAGTCTGAGTCGGAACCAAAGTTAGAACAGATTACTGCACATCAAGGCCATATTTTCAACCAAAACGCCAAAAATATATACGTTTTTCACTGGTGAAGACAATTCTGGTATCTCCGAAGAACATTAAGCCTAATTGTCTATGTCTTCATCATATTTATATAAATAATGTAAAAATAATGGTAAAAGTACTAATATCATGCATTTTTATGAATGAAATCACTTTCCAATAACGACATGACAAATAAAAATAGCATTCCTTGCATTCAATTTCACAGACCGATGTTAGTACTAATATTATCAAAATCATGTTAGTACTGGAGGGTTAAGAGCCCATTTTACGCCATTGCTACACAAATAACTATAATCGTCTCTAAAATGCTATATGCAACCGGTCCTAACCGATGTTTTGAAAACGCGAGATTGAACTTCTTGAGGTTAGGATTGAATTAAATTCACCTTGTGTTCCTCAGGCGCCACTTCGAGCAAGAACTCTCCGCCAACAAGCTCATCCGGCTCATCTTCAACGGGCAAGTGCTACAGCCAGACACACAAACCCTCAAACACTGCGGCCTGTTCGACAATTGCGTCGTGCACTGTCTGGTGCACCCCAAAAGGCAGCCGCCCGCCGACGCCACTGTGGTGGAGAGCCGCAGCGAGGGGTATTCTTTCCCCAATATTGGGGGAGATGCTGATAGGAACAGGGACTGGGACCTGGGGAACTTTCTGTTTGCTTTTATCAGTTTGATGCTGTTGGCCGCTTGGTATTTCAGGTAGGTTAGCGATGCATTCATAAATTATTGGAAAGTATACGCCAACAATTCTGAACGCAAAACACGGATGAATGAATGAAATCGCGAATGGTGGGGATAACTGTGGAATCATTGCCAGCCATGAGACGTTCCAGCTCTACTCGGAAAGTGAGTGGAAAAGTAGCAGTGGTGTATGTCTCGCACTAAATCTCAATAGGGGTATGTTCCGTAAATATGAAATGTTCGGTTGGTTTCTGAAAAAGGTTATTTACTGAACTCGGTTATTGAAAAAGCGGCTGATTCGCTGTCAATAGAACGACTGTGGATTTTCTCTCGTGAGTTCGGTAAGTTTGAGTTGACGTAGACGTGTTTTAGAATTCGGTTTGATTTTTTGATTTACTAATTACAATGAAAAATAATTTTCCCATTTTAATTATTGCGTAATGTTCCGAAGGATTCGTTTACTGAGGTAGATTAATAATATTCGATACATTGAATACGATCAAAACTATGATTTGACAAATGACTGGCAGTCCGTAAATAAACCACAACCATAGTCACCAGAAGATAACCACTGTCAAAATTGTCAAATGACTGGCAATCCGTAAATAAACCACAACCATAGTCACCAGAAGATAACCACTGTCAAAATTGTTGGTACCGGTCCTGAAAGCATCGGTAAACACGGATAAATGAATGAAATCGCGAATGGTGGGGAGAACTCTGCGGAAAGTGAGTGGAAGAAGTAGCAATGGTGTCTGTCTAGGAGTCTAGGACTATAGTATAGTCCAACAAATCTAAACAGCAAACACGGATAAATGAATGAAATCGCGAATGGTGGAGATGGCTCTGCCGAATCATTACCAGAAAATCTATACTTTTCATAGATATATTTTATTGATTTAATAACTCGGACTGCGGCCTGTTCGACAACTGCGTCGTTCACTGTCTGGTGCACCCCAAAAGGCAGCCGCCCGCCGACGCCACTGTGGTCGAGAGCCGTAGCGAGGGGTATTCTTTCCCCAATATTGGGGGAGATGCTGATAGGAACAGGGACTGGGACCTGGGGAACTTTCTGTTTGCTTTTATCAGTTTGATGCTGTTGGCCGCTTGGTATTTCAGGTAGGTCCTTGATACATTCATACATCATTGGAAAGTTCACGCCAACAATCCTGAACGCAAAACACGGATGAATGAATGAAATCGCGAATGGTGGGGATAACTGTGGAATCATTGCCAGCCATGAGACGTTCCAGCCTTCCAGCTCTACTCGGAAAGTGAGTGGAAAAGTAGCAGCGGTGTATGTCTCGCACTAAATCTCAATAGGGGTATGTTCCGTAAATATGAAATGTTCGGTTGGTTTCTGAAAGAGGTTATTTACTGAACTCGGTTATTGAAAAAGCGGTTGATTCGCTGTCAACAGAACGACTGTGGATTTTCTCTGGTGAGTTCGGTGAGTTTGAGTTGACGTTGGCGTGTTTTAGTATTCGGTTTGATTTTTCGATTTACTAATTACAATGAAAAACAATTTTCCCATTGTAATTATTGCGTAAAGTTCCGAAGGATTCGTTTACTGAGGTAGATTAATAATATTCGATACATTTTCAGTTTGAATACGATCAAAACCATGATTTGACAAATGACTGGCAATCCGTAAATAAACCACAACCATAGTCACCAGAAGATAACCACTGTCAAAATTGTTGGTACCGGCCCTGAAAGCATCGGTAATCTCGGTTGATTAACGGAACATATCCTATATAGACACAACGATTCATTCATGAATCATTCAATAGTATACGTCAACAATCCTAAACGCCAAACACGGATAAATGAATGAAATCGCGAATGGCTCTGCCGAATCATTACCAGAAAATCTATACTTTTCATAGATATATTTTGTTGATTTAATAACTCGGACTGCGGCCTGTTCGACAAATGCGTCGTTCACTGTCTGGTGCACCCCAAAAGGCAGCCGCCCGCCGACGCCACTGTAGTGGAGAGCCGCAGCGAGGGGTATTCTTTCCCCAATATTGGGGGAGATGCTGATAGGAACAGGGACTGGGACCTGGGGAACTTTCTGTTTGCTTTTATCAGTTTGATGCTGTTGGCCGCTTGGTATTTCAGGTAGGTTAGCGATTCATTCATAAATCGTTGAAAAGTATACGCCAACAATCCTAAACATCAAACACTGATTAATGAATGAAATCGCGAATGGTGGGGATAACTCTTTGGATGGTTCCAGCCACGAAACGTGTTTATGTTTGCTTTTATCAGTTTGATGCTGTTGGCCGCTTGGTAGTTCAGGTAGGTTAGATAGCTCAGACCTCGAGACTAAATAACATGAATGAAATTGCGAATGGTGGGGATAATTACAGACACTTGTAGGTACATTTGCATGTGAGTGCTTAGACTTGATAACAATAGATAGACACCGCGATTCAATCATAAATCATTAAAAAGTATACGCCAACAATCTTAAACGGCAAACACGGATGAATGAATGGAATCGCGAATGGTGGGGATAACTCTGCGGGATCATTGCCAGCCACGAGTCGTCCCAGCTGTACTCGGAGAGTGAGTGGAAGAAGTAGCAGTATGGTGTCTGTCTCAGACTAAATAACAATAGATAGACACCGCGACAATCTCGGTCATTTGAACTTTGATCACCTGGGTGATAATCAACTGAATTTCGAAGATGCTGATTCTCATGAACCTCAGCTTTTTCAAAAGTCTTGGTGTTTCGTTCTTTAATGACGACGGACACGATTGAACGGAGTTTCAGATCCCTGGCGATCTGCTTATTCCGAACATACCAAGGAGATCCTGTCACCATTCTCGCGATTTTGTTTTGCAATGTTCGGAATCTGGTGATATGAGATTTAGCTGTGTGGTCCCAGACTACCGAGGTATACAGTAATCCTGATAACCATGATGTAAATATTCAATTTTTGTCTCAAACCCAATTTACTTCGTCTGTTTAGAAATGGATACAGGGCTCCAATGGCTCGTTTAGCTTTTGAAACTTGCTGTTCTATGTGCTGGGCCCAGGTGAGCTTTTTGTCAATGCACACAACTAAGTATTTAACTTGTGAAGACCATTCTGATTCTGGGAGGCCTCAGATCCCTTCAGAGTGCGACCAATTGTGCTTTTCAGGATTCAATTCGAGCTTCCATCTTAGGAAGTACTCCTGAAGAGAATTCAGCACGCTTTGGAGGTTCATAGCTGCTTGCTCGAAATTTGTCGAATATGCAGGAACTGCCGTGTCAGCAGCAAAAAGCGACATCTTGCACATCACTGGTCTCGACAAATCGCTGGTATATAAACTGTACAACAGTGGAAAAGGAGCAGCGGTGTCTGTTTCGCACTAAACCTCAATAGATAGACACATCGATTCATTCATGAATCATTCAAAAGTATACGTCAACAATCCTAAACGCCAAACACGAATAAATGAATAAAATCGTGAATGGTGGGGAGAACTCTGCGGAAAGTGAGTGGAAGAAGTAGCAATGGTGTCTGTCTAGGACTAAACACTTATAACTCGACCACTAGTATATTCCTTACACTTTTTACTGGTTTCCAACGCTAAATTGATAACACATCAATTCACTCTTGAAAACTAAAAACAATCACTCTGTTACATGCAGAACCCATATATCGTATTTGTGCAAATGGCTATAGGTAGACCTTTTGAACAGTGTTGCCAGACTGGGCTCACCGCGGCTTTCCTCTTTAAAGATGGCTATGGTATTATTCTACAATTCAAACTCCACTGTGTAAGGTCTCCTAGTATATAAAATTAATTATTTATTGTTGTGTTTTTGTCTAGGTATGTGTATGCCCATTTGTACACAGTGACAGCCACGGTGGGTTTGATCCTGATCACGGGCATATTCACCATTGTTCTGGTCGGCATGTACTTCCCCGATAACGAGAATTTTCCCAACCCGACTATCCATATACGGGAAAGGGTGTCGACTACAGGGTCGCCACCACGTCAGTAATCACATCGGAGTTATGTACTTACGTTTACCTACCTACTGTTTTTTTTTTATTTACAACTGGAGACCATATTATATTTTCGTTGATTCTTTTAAGGCTTGTGTATAATATTATAATTGTAAGTTTAAATTGTATGCGTTATTTAATGAGTAAATAAGATTTGTTGATCTTTGTAATTCGTCTTTTTTTTTCATGGAAATATTTTGGACAACGACATTATATTTTATTGTCCATCACATCGCGCCACTGAAACGAGAAGTGCATAAATCTCTCGAACCATTCTCATCACGTGATATGTTGAGATTCGTGTTTTTTTTAGATTATTCCCAGCAAACATCTGTTATATTAACATAACTGTTATATAACATCAACGGAACTTTTTTATATAAAATGTTTACGTAAATATTCCATAACAATTCTTCAATATGTGAGTCCCATATTTATATAAAAATTTAACGTAACTATGATGTAACTGATATGTGAAAATTTGCTATAAATATAAAACCTGCTGTCTTATATAATAGCTACATGGCTTTACTACGTATCATATCATTTGTTTGGCAATACTGAGGATGTTTACTAGCGCTTACAAACAGGAAAAAAAATTATCATCACGGTGAACTCCACACCGGCGACCCGGGCTCAATACCTGCGACTTTTTTTATTGTTTTCTCGAGTGATTTTCCGAAAAATATTAATTTTAGAAAGACGGTTTATCAAGGACAAGTAAGAGGTTAGTTTGTTTATAAAAAGTGGTATCCTTTATTTTTCGCAATGAACTTGTGGAGGCTGAGTTTGGTCAGAGAGTTTTGTTCTGGTCCACTACTATAGCATGGCGTCAGCCCACTGTGATCATTTGTTTAGTAATTAAGGCTTCCAAAGATAAAAATGGGCATGAGGGTATATTAGACTACGGCACTCTCCTCATTTGGAATATTTTCGATAATGCAGTGTTGCCGCTTCTACTAGAAAGTAGTAGCAACATTGATATCTCAAATGGAACACACTGTATTTCATCGCATTTTTAAATTCTTCCTGAAGAGCTAATTTCATCGATATGTATCACACTTAGGGTCTATCAAATGATTAGAGAGATATAGGATGTTCAAAATCGAGATTTCCGTCGAAACTATATTCATTATTATCGGTCAAAATTATTTACTGATATTTAATCGGAATAGATATACAGGGTGGTTCAAGATTCAGAATTCTGATCACCCTGTATCTGTTCCGATTGAATATCAGTTAATAGTAAATCAAAAGTTGAGATAGGGACATGTGAGCCGTTTTGGCCGATAATGAATAGTTTCGACAAAAACAAATCCAAAAGTTGAAAAATCTCGATTTTGAACACCCTATATCTCTCTAATCATTTCCGATAGATGTATCGATGAAAACAGCTCTTCAGGAGAATCTAAAAATACAATGAAATACGGGGTATTCTATTTGAAATAACAAAGTTGTCGCTACTTTTTGATAGAAGCGACAACAAAGCATTGCTGAAAATATTTTAAATGAAGAGAGCATATTCTAAAATATAAGCATGCATATTTTCATGGATTTTTCGTGCTTGCTCACATAGATCACCCCCATACTTTTCGTCTATCTGAATCACCCTGTAGGCGATAGGGTTCGGTGTCCGGCCGACATTTGGGAACACCCGTAGGGATTATTTTCGTGTTTTTTCATTGCCAGGAACCTTTTAGGCCGATTAGGGCGCTGCTTGAATGCCGGAATGTGATCCCTGCCTGGTGGCCATTGGCGTTCATAGGGGGGCCACAAAAAATGCATTTTCAAATGCATGGGGAAGAATCTATTTCAAATTCAAGTTGGCATTTACTTGAAGGTGATTTCAATTTATAAAATTATATTATTGTCAAGAAGCACTAATGACTATGGAATAACATATCACTCAAACTCGCGTTCATTTCAAGATCTTTAATTATGAATTATAAATTAACCTTTCCAAATTAAAACATCCAGCACAGTGTAGTTTCGAGCAGGTCAGCGGAGTTCATAGACGTCAGTTCTGGTAGAATTTGCAAAAACCGCTTACCGTGCCATAATACCTAGGTAAGCATTATCCAAGGGCGTCGCCAGAGAGGGGCAGGGTGGGGCAGCTGCCCCCCCTACGTTTAACGCTCACCAGTCGTCACCCTGCTATCATTGAAACGACTATTTCAGTCATCACATAATCTGACCAATCACAAGCCAGAGAAAACGTGTGCTTATCGCGAAAACTAGATGTTTTCAACGATGTAACCATGGGTAGCGAAGCGAAGTCTGTCAATTTGGCAAAAAATAATGACTATACTTGTCAGAATGAATCATTCATTCAAAATAAATGCTTCTTTGCTTCGTGAACGTGAAATAGTCTCCACTCTGTTCTGAATATATTCTCATAAGTCTTATTCATTTCCTTGTCGAATCTATTGTGTTGCCGTACAGCCCTACCTTTCGTCCTGAATCGTGGTGTTGCTCAGCAACACAATTTCGTGAACAATGAGGCGACAGAATTATCTCGAATATTAAGAATATCGTGATATTACTTATGATAACGCTCACTTTGAGCAAAGAACTTCCGAAAGTATATTTTTCTCCTGAAGTTGAGAAGGCTCTGAAGATCCTTGTTGCCTTTACCTTGTAAGATTTGTACAGTTGAAAGGTCATTTAGTAGCCTTAGGAGAACCAAAACCTGGTTGAGGAGCACCATGTATATGATGCTCGACTAAATGGCCTCGCAATGATGAGTATACACAGGCAACATATTTTCAAAAACTTGAACGATTTCGTCAAAAAGTGACCAACGAATTCCCAAAGAACCCTAGAAGATTATTTTTCAACTGATTTACTGTATAGATTTTTTTCTGTTTTTTGATTTTCTCATTAAACTCTTTCTATTTGATTTTTCTCTTCAGTTTTTTTTATGGTGCCCCCCCCTATTTTTTCCGCTGGCGACGCCCTTGAGCATTATCGAAAGGTAATGGCCATTCCCATTGCGGAAAATTGCAAACCTAGCATCGATTCCGAATATAATTAGTACCCGAGTCGACCGGCTTCCCCGAGAAAAATCTATTTCAGATTCAAGTTGGCATTTGTTTGAAGGTGATTTTGATTTATAAAATCATATTGTCAAGAAGCACTAATGACTATGGAATAAAATCACTCAAACTCGCGTTCATTTCAAGATCTTTAATTATAAATTAACTCTTCCAAATTAAGACATAGAGTAGGTACCTATCATCAGGTCAGCGGAGTTCATAGACGTCAGTTCCTGTAGAATTTGCAAAAACCGCTTACCGTGCCATGATACCTAGGTAAGCAATATTGAAAAGTAATGGCCATTCGATTCCGAATATAAATTGTACCCGAGGAGTCGATAAGGCATCATTATTATTAATACAAGTCATTAGTAATTATCAATTAAAAAATGTCCGCCGTCTCCCCGACTTCAATCCTGCTGGTCAACCCCATGCTAGACGTTGTAATGTAAGTACTGTTTTTATCAAGTGTTGTTTTGCGTTGTGTTTCATTTGGCAAAACATTATGTTCTTTTTCTTTGCTATAATTAACCTGCCATGTGGCAAGCATTTATCCACGATTCTTCCATTCAAACAATAAATGTCAAATTTTATATGAAAACTGTCTTGACTCTTTATTTGGGGATGAATGTGGTTCGGTGGTGAAATGATCAAAACCTCTCGTCAAAAAGCCAAACTAGTAGCTAAGTTGCGACCTATAGGAGGGTCAACATCTGAGTTGCGACAATATGATCCGAGTTATGAAATTCCGACTACTGAAATTATTTCCAAATGAATATCACAAGTAGTATTTTGAAATTCGTAATAAAAACGTGTATTTCGGTAACTAAGTTGCCATTCTCAGTAGTTTAAGAAATAGAAAAAATTATTCCAATTACCCAATAGGAATTCAATATGATTAGGTATGTCATGCAAATCTGCTGCCTGTTTCAGTATATCGCGATCTGGTGATGGACAATCAGAACATTTTTAGCCCTTATTGAAAATAAACACGTAACGCCATTGCCTCTGGATAGGATTGAACGAACACACAAATTCCCTGTCGTCATAAAGTCTGAAAGATCACGCGTGACTAAATCGTCTGATCCCTCATTTAGTGCATACTTTCAGTGGCTTAAGAGCCTATCTATAACAATTATATAAAAGTACAGGAAATTGTTCATTATACCAAAACTCGTTTCGGAATTCTTTACATCTGAGAAAGTTTTCCCAAGAAGATTTTACCTTCAAAAGTTCAAAAAAACTTTCAATAACTGCTCTTCCTCATCTGTCTTTTCTGTAGGTATATAGGTACCTACGCGTGATGTACCACATACATCTATATGCATAATAGGAAATTTCCTAGTGTCATGTGTAGAAAAATATCACAATAATCAGAATGAATTTAACACAGGAATAAATAGTAGTTTTAGAAACAAAAAAAGAACACGCTTTTATAGATAGCCAAACTAAAAAAAAGTTTAAAATTAAATATGTAATGAAAGTGTATTCAAAAATACACAACATATAGAAAATATTAGCACCTCCGTTATCAGCATTTTCTATGTTGAAATAATAAATACATAATATAGATTAAAAGATACTGATTATGGAGGTGCCAATATTTTCTATAATATGTTGTGTACTTATCAACGCAATTTCAAATTGGCTATCTGTAAAATCGTGTTTCTAAAGCTTTTTCAACTACTATTTGTTTTCAATTTCTTAGCTCGACTACAAAAGCGAGTTTTTTATTTTATTTTTCTATTTCTTATTATTACAATTACACCGCCCCCTATCCGCAATGAAAGCGGGTTTATCAAATTCCCTTTCCGGAAACTTTATTTCATACGAGTACTTGGTGCAATTCATACTACCGTCTCTCTGGATGCAACTATTTTTTTTTATATATCATACGAGCATACTTGGTGCAAGACACTGCCGTGTCTCTGGATGTTAAAACCGCTCATCCTAAAGATCCTCTGAACAGAATAATGAAACAAAATTATCAAATTATGCTTTTGTCATCGGCTCTTGATAAGCGGGCGCAATTCGACGTTTTGAAGTTGGTTGAGATCACATTCGAAGAAAGGAGTGAATTAGAATAAAAAACAATCTGAATATAATTCGAAGAGAAGAGACACAAATGAAAGAAAA